AGTCACTTTTGGTACCCAGCTAGCCAAGGAAATCCTATGAAGAAACTCTTTCTCAAGCTTAAAAAGCTTAAAACCAGTCTCAAAATCTTAACAAGGACTATTTCAGTGATATTTCAGCTCGGGTTAGAGGGAAAAGAGAAGAGATCGAGAAATAACAAATTCTATCTTTAAGAGGAGTTGAGCCCATTAACAAGGAACTTGAGCTGCAAAGGGAGCTTATTTCTTTAGAGGAAGCCGAGGCAATGTTTTTAAAACAAAAGGCTAAAACTCATTGGTTAAAAGAGGGGGACAAATGCTCTAAGTTCTTTTATTTTGTCATTGCTACAAAGAATAAAAAATATACCATAAGAGTCCTTGTTGATGACCAGGGAAGGAGATTGGAATCCTTCAAAGACATATCCTCTAAATTTATAATTTTTTTCAAAAATCTCCTAGGTGCCCCTGATCCTAAGATTCTAAACTGCCCATCTAGCTTACTTAAAGGTCTACTGCAATCAATCCCAAGCAATGAAGACTATGAATGGCTCACAAAGGATGTCACTTCTCAAGAGATCAAAGAGGAAATTTTCAGTCAAGGCAATAACAAGGCTCCAGGTTCTGACGGTTATACTCCTCTTTTCTTCAAGAAAGCTTAGACTGTGATCGATGATGAAGTGACAGAGGCTATTAAGTTTTTCTTCCAAGAGTCATTCATCTATACTGCTTTCAATCAACAACCATTACCTTAGTTCCCAAAATCCCTAATCCTAGCAAAGTTTTGTATTTTCGACCCATTTAATGCTGCTCTGTCATCTATAAAGCCATTACAAAGATAATTGTAAAGAGAATCACTCATTTGCTTCCAAAGATTATATCTCCAACTCTAGCTGCATTTGTCAAAGGGGGGAGTATTATTGACAATACCCTTCTTGCTCAAGAAATTGTGAAAGGGTATGGGAGGAAAAATATTTCACCTAGGTGTGCCTTAAAAAGAGACCTCCAAAAAGCTTTTGACTCAATTCACTGGGGCTTCATTCCAAAAATTCTTAAGGCTTTAGAGTTTCCTACTAAACTCATTGATTGGATTATTGCTTGTTACTCTGATGCTAGCTACTCCATTTCCTTTAATGGAAGCTTGATTAGTTTTTTTAAGGGTGCCAAGGAACTTAGACAAGGTGACCCTTTATCCCCTTTACTGTTTGTTCTTGTTATGAATGTCCTATAAAAAAATTCTCAATAATGCTACTGCTAAAGGAATATTCAGTTTCCACCCCAAGTGCAAGAAAATTGGCCTCACCTATTTAACTTTTGCTGATGATCTATTAATATTCTGCAAATGTAACCTTGATTTTGTCATGGGAGTCATTACAGTCCTTAACTACTTCTATGAGCTCTCTGGTCTTAAACTCAATGCTCTCAAGTGTGAGATTTTTACTGCTGTCATTTATGCTCCAACTATTGATAACATTATTTCTATTTCTTGATTCAAGCATGGACTTCTGCCTATTAGATATCTGGGAATTCCCTTGCTAACCAAAAAACTCACTTCTAAAGACTGTCAACCTCTTATTAATAAGATTAAATCCAAATTACACCAATGGTCTAGGCTGAAACTTAGTTATGCAGGCAGGTTCGAACTACTTAAAACTGTTCTCTTTAGTGTTGCCAACTTATGGTGCATGCAACTTATTTTGCCTCAATCTATCATTAATAAGATTGAGCAAATCTGCTCTAGATATTTTTGGAAATGATCTGGCATACCTGCTGCTGGAGCAAGAGTGAGCTGGGACAGAATTTGCACGCCTAAGTCTGAAGGATGATTAGGCCTTAAGGACACTAAGTCCTGGAATAAAGTATGTATGATCCTTCTTATCAAAAACCTACTGGCTGGGGAGGGCTCTTTATGGGTTGCATGGATTCATAATTATATTATCAAGCATCAGAATTTTTGGTCTATGGAAAATCTTTCGAACTGTAGCTAGAGCTTTAGGAAAATAATGAAGCTTCGAAGTTTCGTTCATCCTCTTATTACTACAGGAATTACAAGTACAAAGGATATATGGGAAGAGGTTCGATCAAAGAATAGCAAAGTCCCCTAGCAGAAGCTGATCTGGTACCATCTTCACATTCCTAAGAACAACATTATCTCTTGGATGGTAATTTTGGATCGGCTGCCAACCAAGGTTAGGCTGCAGAGATTCGGACTGGTTACTAATGACCAGTGTATTTTATGTTCTAAAGCCAGTGAAACTAGGAACCACCTTTTTGCAGAGTACAAGATGGTTATTTCAATCTGGAACTCTATTCTTCTTCTTTCTGGTATTCACAAACCTCCTCTTACTTGGTCTAACTTATTGGTTTGGGAGACTGCTACTTGGGAAGGAATATATCTTATCACTAATATCCTCAAGCTCTCTTATCACTAATATCCTAAAGCTCTCTTGGTGCGCATTCAACTACACAATTTGGGAGGAAAGGAACCGAAGGCTATTCAGAGGCAGTTATAGATCCGGGGATGAAGTTCTTCTCTCAATCAAGCACATTGTAGGTACTCACTTAAGTAACAAGAATGCCAATAGATTAGATAGCACTAATTTAGATATTTGTAACAATTGGGGTATAGTTTGATTTTTGTTGTACATAGGTTACCCTTGATTTTGTTCAATTGATTGGATTGGTTCATGTAGGAGTTTACTGCTTTCTTTGGGTAATAATATCTTAATTTTCCAAAAAACAAATAAGGCTTTGTTTAGTATGAAAGATGAAAATGAAGAATAACAGTAAAATTATTATCAAATGGTTACTATTTAAAATAAAAAATTATAAATTTTAATCATTTGAATAATATTGTTTTCATATTTTCTTATCTTCATATGAGTAACATCATATTAAACTGTCTTGTAGTGCACAAAACCAGAGATGGGTCGTGGAATTAGTCCTAGAATTGGTTCTTGTCCTGACTGTGGGTTTTGGCCCAAAATGAATTTGTGCCACCGGTTTTTATTCAGAGTTCTCTTGTAACCTTCTACCCCAAAGTTTAGCTGCAGATTATATTACATCCCATTTGTTTACACAATATATAAGGTTGCAGTGGGTCAGAGTAGGTGTAAATCCTCTCTACTTGTTTTCGTGGCAGCTCTATTAGCTGTTCAGTGCTTATATTCCCTTGCAACACTAAGAAAGTTGGATCAAGTTCAACGAAACGAACTTCGGAGATTATTGATGAAAATAGTCAAAATTTTAACAAGAGATTGAAGCTGAGGTAGACCCAAAAACAAGCAAAAAGGTAAGTGTGGAAAAGTCTTTTAGATCGAATTTTCTAACCTATACACTATAAATTGAACCTCAAACTTATAGTGAAACTATAAGCTAATTTGAAAGTACTTTGTGAAAAGATATTATCAAGAGTGAAATTGATTCCATCATGCAGAATCATACACGAAAATTAATATATCTTCCTTATGGAATTAAGCCATTAAATTTTAAATTAAATTTCAAATGAACAATGAAAGCATTTGGTACAATTAACAAGTGAAGGGTCAGATTAGCTCTAAAAGGTTATAGACAAAAGAAAGACCTTGATTACTTTTATACATATTATTTTGTATCAAGAATAACTTTTATAAGGAAGAACTTGCTATTTTCGCTTCGTTTGATGTTTATGGAGATTAACTTATCCAAGTTGTTACATTAATGGATGAAAATTTGAATAGCGTTCAAATATCTTAACTAAACACTTTGATGTTTACGAACTATAAGTTTAATTTATCTAAGTTGTTGCATTAATGGATGGAAGTTTGAATAACGTTGAAAAGTCTAAACTAAACAATTTGATGCTTATGAACTAAAGAGATTAACTTATCCAAGTTGTTACATTAATGGATGTAAGTTTGAATAGAATTCAAATGTCTCAATAAAATACGTTGATGTTTACGGCCTAAAGAGTTAGTCCACAAAATTTAGTCCATTGACACCAAAGTGTTTAGTTAAGCATTTCAATGCTATTTACCTTGTATGGAACAAACGTCACAAAAATTTGTACACCATTAGTGGCATTTCCTTCACAAAAAACCACAAAAGAGTGTAGTTCTAGTGGCTTTTGTTTAAAAGGTCGCTATTATTAATTCATTTTGCATATATTATTTTCTACTCTATATTACCTAAATATAATATCATATAGCATTATCTAATTAACAAGAAGCTTAAAATTTAATTACAACACAAATTATTTTGAAAAACACTTAACAACAAAATAAATTAAAGTTTATGAATAATAAAATTAAATGTAATGTAGTTTAAAATTGTTCACTAGAATTGAGTCTAGATTCTCTTTCAATTAAAAAACAGTGTTCACTAAAACAGATAAAAAAATATTCTTCAAGTGGCAATTTTATGCAATAATCTACAACTTCAGTTGATTAATACTCCATCTGACTTCGAGTATTCAATTCGGGAATGTAAATTAGCAACCTGCAAAAGGAAATGTTCATTCGACAAAATGTCCCAGCAGATAGGCCAGCATTATTCCAAGTGTGACAGAGAGCTAAGCAGTACAACATTGCATATTTGATCAGCCTAAGAGGTGATCAAAGCATTTTCTAAAAATATTTGTTAATAAAGCTAATGATAAACAGAGCTAGAGCCAACCTGATTCAGTTAGTGATGGGCATGGGTCGGGTCAGATCGAATTTTCGGTCCACTCGACCCAGCCCAAAAATTATAGATCCTCCACTCAAACCAAACCGAACCCGACCCAAAAAATATACACCTTTCACCCGACCCGAACCTGACCTGAAATATTATATTTATTAAAATATTATATTTATTAAAATATATTATTTTTATTCAATAAAAATAATATTTTATTAAAAGAAAATAATATACAGAGGAGTATTATTGCAATTGTCACTAAATATCTAAGTTAAAATTACAATTTTTTTGGGTTGGGTCGAATATTTTTAACCTAAACTCGAACCCGACCCGAACATAAACTTAATAAACCCGTCCCGAACCCAATTTTTTTTTAAAAAAATTGACCTGATCGGATCGGGTCAGGTTGGAACCCGATGGGTTAGGGTCCCATGCCTATCCTTAAATTCAGTGAACCCAAGCTGCCCCTCATGTTTTGAGGTGCCATCTCACCTATACATAATATATACAACTCAAACTCTCAAGCCCTTTGAACAAAATTTCCATCCTAATAACAGAACATAATTCAACATTACCATATAAGAAATTATTCCCACACCAAAAATCTTCCAACAATCTTCCCATGTGAAGAAAAAATGAATACTGCAAAATGCCGCAAACTTTGTTTGTAAGTGTAAATGATCAATTTATTCTATGCCAAAGTAGCTACATCAAGCTTGTGCAATATGAACTCATCGTAGCAAAAGACATAGCTAGTAATCCAATTATATTAGGAATTGTAGCAATCACTAAAGCCTACAACGCAAATAAGACAACTATACTTGGTAATCCAAATCAAAACAGAAATCAAATACTCTGAAGGTAAATCAGTGATTCGATTACCCCTTTTCGTTCTATTTAGTTGGCTATCTGACCACTGGCTAATGCTCCAACCCTGGCACCCACATTCGATAAAGAATCGAAAAGAGAGAACTATCCTAGAAATAGGACTTATTAGCTAGAGTTCAATCAAGGAAAACACCAGTTAACCGAACCAAATTAAATGGGAAAAAGGGATAAATCTTACCTGTGAGACTGTTAATCCAAGATCCTTTACTATTGCAGATTGTGTAGGAGAAGAGTAACCACACTCAAGAACAAATTAAACCCAATTCAGAATTTGTTTCAAAGTAAACACAAAGCTAAATCAGAAAAGAAGACCAACCCTGTACAAAGCTAGGCCAAGTAAGTAGCCTCCTCTTGTTTCATCCACTTCTTTTGCGCATTCAATATCCTCACCAAAGTCCTCGCCTTGTGAGCAGGCAACTCTTTACAAAGCCAAGCTAGCTTCGACCTTCGCCACAGCTCCGGTAACTCTTCTAGCTCCTTAACTTTAATCACCCGCGCCTCCAAAAGTTTCATATCGTCCCCCGCCAAAACCCCATCAGCGTCTTCAAACGCAAACGCTTCACTCTTGTCGTTCGAGGAATCCCATTTCTCTTTTTCTTCACTTACGTTTCCATCAGCCAAACTAACGTGAGCAGCCGAGAACAAGGGAGAAGGGAGCAACCGTGGCGCAGCGGAGCGCGTGATGAGAGGGCGGGAGAGACGGAGGATAGAGAGAGAAGGTAAAGCTTTGGTTGCTAGCATTGCTGCTGAATATCCTGAATCCATTATGGGATTAAAGATTTGTTTTTTTTATTCAATGGCAGGCTGCTGCAATTTTGTGGCTTATTTCGTTGAACGGCGGAAACAAGCTAAAGAAAAAAAAATGAAAAACCCTAAAGGGTTTGAGGAGATAAAAGACTCAAAACTTGCGATGTTTTTATTACAAACGTCACTAATGGGCTGAAAATTATGGCGTTTTATAAAAACACCAATATATATGAATCTGCGGCATTTTTAATTACAAAAACTACTAGCATTCTAAAAAAGTTGTTGCATTTAATAAAAAAAGCCATTACATATTAATCTTATTATGGCGTTTGTTTAAAAAATACAACTAAAGTATTGTCGTTAGGGGATTTTTTGCAAAACACCGTTAATGTAACATTTTGTGTCGTTTTTACTATAAATGTCGCAATATATAAAAGTTTAGCGATGTCTGCTCTTAAAATGTTGCAAAAAACACTGCTACAAATCTATTTTGATGTAGTGAGATAACGTTATAGATTCGTTGATCAAAAGGTTAGATCAAAATAAATTTATAAAACATCAAGAGGAATGAGATTGAAGTCAATGAATTTATGACCAATTTCCTCCAATAAATGTGGTATCTTGAACTGCTACAAATCTATTTTGCAAGAAATTCGGTTGCATTACATAAATTTCTACATGAAATTTATGACCAATTTCCTCCAATAATACGTACCAACAGAAAATTTTTTCTGGCGTATTTAACTATCGATGGATTGGAACCAATCAATTTTGAAAAAAGTGGATTTTTCCTTTTAAAAAAGAATGGATATATTATTATTTTTTATTAATTGGAAGTATTATATTTTAAGGTGAATTATGAAATTTAAATTCATAAAACATGATAGTATAAATATCTTTAACTATTCAGTCAATTAATTATTTATCTCACTCTTAGTTTTATATGAATTAAAACTAAAATTTTATATTTATTAAAAATAAATATATGGATACACTAAAAATCAAATAGAGGTTAGCCGTGAATGGGTATATTCAACTTTTATAGTGGTGTTAGTGATTTTCAATATTAGAAATTAGACGAGAGATGGAGGAAAATATAAAAACTATGAAATGATAATGAATTTGACCAGATTTATTCAACTCCACTCCGTTGTTATCTTTATTTTTTTTATTAATATGAGGTAAACACAAGGTAGTATCTACTTATATATATCTTTCTACTATTTTATATTGTCACACTCCTGACATTTCTAATACTCGAACTGATATCTTGATGAATAACAACAATTTCTTTTACCACTAAAATCGTTTGGTTCGTACTTATTATCTTTATTTTTAATCATCTTTAAGAACTTATAAATAATAAAATAAAACGAATCATTTATAAATCGATGATAAATTTGATAACTTTATTTCCACTCCACTCTATTACCATGTAATCGACATAAAAATGTTGGATGGGTCAATGGTAGAAATTTGAAAAACAAGAGAGTTTTTACTTGTAAAATTTGGATAAGGCATCGTGAGATTTGATAATATTAGTTCACATTGTACTTTATTGAAAACCATCAAACACATTATTAGATCCATACATTTCTTCAAATAGAAACTTATCCGCGTACGAATTAGAAAGCCAATGGAGAAAAAACAAATTTGTAATGTGTTGGATTAGTCAAAACACAGCTTTACCTCAACCATTTCATGCACGTGTTCTCCAATACATTATCTGCAGGGTGAAGTCAAAGAAACAGATGTATATATTCAGTCCTGGCGGATCTAAAATTATTTTTTTTTTAGAGGGAATACATATATGTTACTCACATAGTTTTTTTTATAAAATAAATACAAATAAAATTTTAAAGTGAAGACGGTAAATAAAATGACATTTTTACCCAAAAATACCCTAACAATGAAATATTATATGTCAGGAATTCTTTCTCCAAATATTATCGAATTAATATCCTTTCTGACAAAGTGCGGATCATGTAACGTGCATTCGCGGGGTTCTGTCAGAACTGACGCCACGTTGGAAGGCACGAATCATGAAGAGAGCCTTCGTGGGTAAATCTAACACGTACAAGAAGACACGTATCACGAGACGCACCTTCTATTATTCATTTTGAATTATTGCACACTCTATTATTACCAGAACCTTAAATCTGGGTTATTCATCCATTCTCCTCCCCTATAAATACCCCTGAATGCAAACATCAAACCACACCAAAATTATTTTCACATTATTCCTTATATCAATTCTTTCTATCAAGTTAAGTAGGTTTTGTTATAGTTTTTAGAAGGTAAAATTATTTTTTTATTATATTATATTTATTTTTTATTTAATTATTTGACCAATTTTATTGTACTAATTATTTTCTATTATTTTTTTACAGTTGTAAAATGAAAGGCAGGATCATATCTCGAGACATTTTGTCGATACAGTAACAATATTAAATTATGTTATTTAAATTATTGTGATTTTTTAGCATAAGTTTATATTTTAATTCGTATATTATTTATTTAATTAGGTGTATTTCAGCTATTGCTTTTGCAGATATATAACTCTCAATCTTTCAAACTCTCAAACTCTCAAAAGGAGGCGTATTTCATCTATTGTTTACTATGATGGAGAAATTCGGGAAGATGAAACTGGCGTTGTCTTCGCATCAAATTATTATGTCAGAATATCATTAAAGAGAAACACAACTCTTAAGAAAATGGTCACTAAAATTTCAAGGAAGGCTCATGTTGGAAATACTAGAAGATTGTCCTCACTTCAGTACAAATTTACAACTATACCATTTTCATTAACTTATACAACATTTAAACTCTTCAACGATGGCGATGTTGCTATGGTGGTTGATGCTCAGAATCAAAATTCAGACGTTGATACATAAATGTATGTCACATTTGTTGAAATGTTTGCGGTTTGTGGAGTGTCATTATGCTCCCACTATAGGTTGGCTCAACAAGCTGGTCAAGTTAATAACCCAACTCAAGTAATTGTAATGATTTAAACTTGTTAATGGGAAATCCACATCCTGGTATCATCCTATCAAGTTCAATGGGGAGACATTCATCAGCAACTTATTACGATCTCCATCGACGTGGCTCCACAAACAATCTATATGGCAACATCGCTTCAAGATCAATGGGAAGACATTTATCTGGCAATTTCTTTGACTCGAATATGGATATGCCCTCGACACAACAATTTATTCAATACCCATTTGACACGATGGCTTCAAGTTCCAGGGGAGGCATTCAACTGTGAGCTTCTTCGACCTCAATGTGGAGATGTCTGCGACACAACACTCAGTTCAAAACCCGTATGACACGATGCCTTCAAATTCAAGGGGAAGTCATTTAACTACTAGCTTGCTTGACTTAAATATCAACATCATATAGGAACCCTCATCTCTATTAGAAGAACCTCTTCGTGAGCCAAGTGCGGATAGTGTTGAGACTGGACTATTCGTTGAGGCAGAATCACCACAGTTCAACATGGAATCCAATAATGATGATTTAGATAAAGTTCTCACAAATACGGTACACACGGAACCTCCAGTACATATGTGTGAATCTGACTATGGTGCAATGTACTGACCAGAATTTAAGGATATGCCTAATGTTGGTGATTATGAATTTAACTCATCAGTCAATGATGGTGAGTTATATATCAGAATAGAGTTTTCATCCAAATAAGAAACGATGATTGCAATTAAGAATTACAACATTCATAATTTTGTTCACTCTAGAGTCGATCGATCCACCACCAAAAAGTATGTTTGTTACTGTGTCTAACGTGATAACGGATGTAACTGGATGATTCGTGTATTGAAGAGGAATAGGAAAAAACAACATATTGGAACTAACAATATAGAAGGGTCCTCATACATACTGTGCTAGAGGGGTCAACCAGGACTATCCCAACTTAGACTCCGATATTATTTGTCAAACCATCATGCCCATAATCAAAGCAAGCTCTCATATAGCTATTACGGTGCTGATTTCAGCTATACAGTCTCAATATGGGTACACCGTCTCCTACAGGAAATCATGGAAGGAAAAGCATAATGCCATTAAAAAACTTCACGGCGAGTGGGATTCATCTTACAATGAACTATCAAGTTGGTTTAGGGTAGTGGCCAGACTAAATCCTAGGACAATAGTCAACTTCAAAATTTTTCATGCATACCACAATGATCGAGTGCTTCGCGATCAATGCCAATTCTACCGTCTTTTTTGGACTTACCCACAGTGCATTAATGTTATGAAATACTGCAAACTCGTGGTTCAAATTGATGGGACATTCTTGTTTGGAAAATACATGCATGCTTTTTTATTGACAATTGTCCAAAATGGTAATCACAACATTCTTCCAGTTGATTTTACCCTTTTTGAATGAGAAAATATAGATTCTTGGGCTTTTTTCCTCAAAAACTTGCGTTTACATATTGTCACGAGGGAAAAACAATATGTGTCATTTTAGATCGCGTAGCTGGGAACAAAGCAGTAATAGAGTCTTTGGGTCTAATGTTGCAGCCACCCTATGTCCAACATCAGTACTGTATCCAAGATATTGCTTCAAACTACCATAGAAAGTTCAAGAATAATGATGAGCGCCAATTACTTGTGTGCATGGGTATGTCATAATGCCTAATTTCATTTCTTAATCATTTTCATTTTTTATGGGAATTTAATAGTAAATATTATATTTAACGCTCAGGTTAGGAAATATAACCTCAAACGTTTGAGTCCATACTTCAAGATTTACAAGGAAAAAAGGAGCAATGATACAATTACATCAGCCTCATCAATAAAGAAACGTGGACAAATGCATACGATGGTGGATATCAATTCAACCTTAAAGGGCGTGCACCATTTACCTGTAATAACTTCGGGAGTGCTTTTTTCCAAGCTCGGAGGACAAGTTCTAACTTGTATGCAAAAAGGCCATACTTATCACCCAAGATTAGTTGCATATCTACAAAAAAGAATTGTTGCATCAAATGGAATGTTTGTAACAAGATTCTCTCGAACCCATGATTTATTTCGTGTCACATAAATGCCACGACCTCTTCAAGGGATTGAAGCT